AAAAAAAAAAAAAAAAAAAAAAAAAAAAAAAAGGCTTAAAGGGCCCAGGATCTCAGTGGCTGGTGACATCAGAAATTGTATGTTTGAACCAAATAAATCATGACTGCTATTGAGTTTTCTGTGTTAAGTTAAACTTAGTACTAATAATTATTTTTTAGGATATGGGATATGAGGCTTCCCTGGTCACAGACAATTCCAAGAATTCTGCTGCACATGAACACAGGAAAACTACCAGGCAGTAAGTGGCATTGCCATGTTTAACCATGTTTTAGAGTAGCTTCTCAGCTGCTCTCAGTTTCAAGTATTGTAAAAAGGAAAAAATAACTGTTTGAACTAAACAAGTTTGAGATTTTAAAAAGTTAGGATTAACTGACAGGCATTTTATTCATTTGAACATCAGTTAAATCAGTTATGTAATTTGGTGTTTCTAGTGAGCATATTTATTTGAATAAATAGAGCTTAACGTCAAAAAGTGCTCATGCTTGAATGTGATGCACAACTGCCATCTTGAATATTTGCCACATTGGCAAGATGACATCTACAAGCAGTAAGGTATATTGTTTTGGCACTGAACAATTTAGTAAGTTATGTCAGATCTTAAACCTGGCATGTACTGATTTTATATATCATTATAAAAAAACTCTAAATTTTTAATTGATACTTATAATTCTAGGTGGAGAAATTCATTCCTGTTTTCCCTCATACTTGGTGTACCTTGTATGGTGGTCATGATGTACTTCATGTTTGCTTATATGCACATGCCTGGTCACCAGATGGCAGCAGGTGGCAGTAATGATACAGCTGATTCCTCGCCAGGTGTCCCCATGGTGACAGCAGGACTGTCTGTGGAGAACTTGATTCTATTTTTACTGGCAACTCCTGTACAGGTATTGCTACATTTTATAATATGCTAAACATATCAAGATGAGACTGGATAAAGTTTTGTTTGAAATCCAGGAGAAATTCATTGTTCAGGAATTGTTTATATAGTTAAAAATATACCCAGGGGCGGTCCAGGATTATTTGAAGGGTGGGTGGGGGGGTCCCCAGATACATCAGGACCTCCCAGACCCCCCCTCTCTAAATCCGCCACTGATACCCATATTGAGTTCTCTCATATGTTTATATATTTTAAATGATTTGGAAATTTGATTTTGAAATATTATAGACATAGTTTCCTAACTTAAAACTTTTTGGACCTCTTTCAGTTTATTGGTGGGAGATATTTTTATATCCAAGCCTACAAAGCTTTGAAACACAGATCCACCAATATGGATGTCCTTATTGTCATGGCAACCACAATATCATATGTTTACTCAGTTATTGTTGTGGCTGTTGCCATGGTGATGCAAGAGTCCACAAGCCCACGTACATTCTTTGAGACCACACCTATGTTAATGGTGTTTATATCATTGGGACGGTGGCTTGAACATATAGCAAAGGTAAGTAGATAATGACATAGATATCATATTGGCAGTACTGAATATGCTATTTGATTAAACTTTCTTATGCAAAGTGACTGAATGTAGTGCATCACAGAAAATAATACATGAAACAGACGTAGCTTTTAAAGTAATAATAATGATAATAATGATGCAGCATATGAGGACCATTATGGATATATACGCGAATGTGCAAAATTTGCATAATTTCTATCGAATTTTAGGGCAAGACATCAGAGGCCCTGACCAAGCTGATGTCTCTGCAGGCCAGTGAGGCTCTACTGCTGGAGTGTGACAAGAATGGCCAGGTGATCAAGGAACAGAGGATCAGTGTGGACTTAGTTCACAGGGGAGATATTCTCAAGGTGAGGTAACACACTGGACTTGCTTTCATCTCATGGATTTTAGTCAAATGGGAAACATACTCTATTGTGATCTAGTGAATTAAACATGTTTTACTGTTACATACCAGTTTGTCATTGATTTGGTTCAAAGTTTTGATTAGTGAAAACTATCCACCTGGCTCTAAAAAAATCAATAGTGTGCCTGTGGGATTGTAATAAAGTAAATGTAATAAAGTCATAGTTAAATACTGTTCCTTTGTGGGTATTGAAGCTTTGGAACTTCATACTTTTGTTTCTAGCTGTATTCACATACAGTTCACCTGTAATCTGATGAATTACAGATAAAAATTACCCAAAAGCAGTGATGTAAAATTCAATTTATTTTTGTCTGTACCATAACACAACTTATTTATCATATCTAGGTTCTTCCTGGAAAAAAGTTTCCAGAGGATGTCACAAACTATTCAAAAACTATAATGATGAATTCTTGTTATCACACTTGATATTTATCATCTCTAGGTCCTGCCTGGAGAGAAGATTCCAGTGGATGGTAAAGTGACGGAGGGACACTCCATGTGTGATGAATCTCTTATCACTGGAGAGTCCATGCCCGTGGAGAAGAAAAAAGGTGGGTTTTGCCATAGATCAGAGCATCTTCTACTCAGAATAAGGAACAATGGATCAAATATTACCATTTAATATACATCTATGATGGTAATGGTGAATAACCATAAGCTTTTAATTGTTGACTGATGAAGAAATTGGTTAAATTTGTAAAGAAATACAAACGATGACGTGCTTGTTGGAATTCTGAACTAATTTTGACTTTAAGGTTAAAAATACCTTAATTGATATGTACTAACCTATTCTGTTATTGATCAAATGGCAGGTTCTTCTGTGATTGGAGGATCTATCAACCAGAATGGCACTCTGTTGGTGGAAGCTACACATGTGGGGGCAGACAGTGCTCTTGCTCAAATAGTCAGGCTTGTGGAAGAAGCTCAAACATCCAAAGTAGGTCACATTCATAAAGTGAACAGAAATTTGGTTTTATTTCTACCACTTTACAATGCTCTCATATTTTTTTATTTAAAGAATCTTTTGTATGGTTCAACTGAATTGAATATATATTGCTTATACTTTTATAAGAAAGGATACTTCACATAGAAAATTTTAATGTATCTGCACCTTTCAGTGCTATAACATAACATTGAGCAGGCGCATGCCATAAGTATGCCCTTTTCACTGTGGTTTTATCAAACGATTGTTTTTAAATTTTCATCCAGGCTCCTCTGCAGGCAGTGGCAGACACCATAGCTGGCTATTTTGTCCCTGGGGTTTGCACCATCTCTCTCCTCACAGCTGTAGTATGGGTTATAGTGGGCTATGCCACTTATAACCAGTTGGACATTCATTGGAAAGTAAGGCTTTTTTTTCTGTGCTTGGTATGTGTGAACACGTGTGTAATAATTCATAGTAAAGAAAAAAAGAGAAATTAGTCCTGTTTTAGTTATGCAATTTGTCACAAATGACAAAAAAAAAAAAAAAAAGTGTTACTGATATGTATATTGAGAGCCTTGTAAGATAAGTATGTGAAATTCATTAATATGTGATCTCACTGAAGAACTGAATAAAGTTGGAAAAAAGTGTAACGTTAAAAAAAATGACACTTCAAACAATAACACCACATGAACGTTTTCTATTTCAGTCAGAAAGTGGAATGGGCAAGAACGAAATCATCTTCCAGCATGCGTTTAAGTTTGCCATCACAGTTCTAGCAATAGCCTGTCCCTGTGCCCTGGGCCTGGCCACACCCACTGCTGTTATGGTGGGGACAGGGGTGGGGGCTACTAACGGGATACTCATCAAGGGAGGAGAGCCATTAGAGATTGCACACAAGGTAAAATAAGTGCTAGAATTTTTATTGTTGAATTTTAAATATGTTCAGTTGGGGAAACTTATATAAGTGTAGTACGTGAATGAAGGTAGAATTGGAAATCGGTGGTTTAAGAATGAGCAATTCAAATGTGCACATGTTTCAGAATATAATTTTTATATTTTCAATTATTTTAAGTTATAGGGGGTTGCTTCAGTTTCTAGTTTCATTGTCTCTTTTCTCTTTCCATAGGTACAGAGTATTGTGTTTGACAAGACAGGCACAATAACGCGTGGTATAGCAGAGTTGACTAGACTGACACTGTTTAATACAGGGTTGTCCAAACATCTGGTGATTGCTGTCACTGGGACTGCAGAAACCAGCAGTGAACACCCTGTAGCTGCAGCCATTGTCAAATATGCCAAACAGGTGAGTATCAGATTGAAAGAGTGAAGGAAATGATTTGTAAAGATGAAAAGTTGTATAATCCTCAAATTACACAAATTATCCTGTTTCCATGAATACTCAAAGTGCATGTATAGATAGGAAATCACCCTTTCACAGAGTTCCAAATTCTCCATGACATAAGTGAACACAGGAAGTCTGAGAGATAGCCATTAATTTTATGAAGAACTGTTTAAAATCTAATACATTTTTTAGTGAAATTTTATGCACATTTGCAGGCATTGGGTGCAGAGACCCTGGGCAAGGTGTTGGATTTCCAAGCTGTCCCAGGCTGTGGCTTGAAGTGTAGAGTGACCAATGTTGATCATCTGGTGAGCAGTATGGAAACAAAGGACATTCTCAAAGAACACACTAATATTGACAGAGACGAAATACAAGGTATGTGACATTCAAATACTGCATTTAGTTTTTTTGAGCTGAATTCAGAAGTCAATATTTTCTGTGATATCTTAAGTTAATCTGTTTTTTTACCCAAGCCATCTGCACAGTGTTTCAAGAATTGTAAAATATGTTCTTAAAAAGCAGTTGGTCACAGAATCTCTGGAAAGCTTAGCAAAAACAGTATGTACATCTTTTAGTATTGGTTACTGAAGAAAGCACTCTGTTGACTCCTGTTTTTTTCTATTAAAAAATTTGGTTACATTTTCTGCCCTCAGACCTGTAAGATGCCCCATCTTCCAGTGGCTATAAAGTATTAATTCATAATATGAATTATTATAGTTATACTTTCTATCCCCAGAATTACAAGATGTCTCCTCCAGTGGCTATGAGGTATTGATTGGTAATATAAATTATTATAGTTATACTTTCTATCCCCAGACCTACAAGATGTCTCCTCCTCCAGTGGCTATGAGGTATTGATTGGTAATATAAATTATTATAGTTATATTTTCCATCCTCAGACCTGCAAGATGCCCCATCCTCCAGTGGCTATGAGGTATTGATAGGTAACAGGGAGTGGATGAGCCGTAACATGCTGACAGTCACTGAGGCCATGGACCAGGAAATGTCATATCATGAAAACAAGGGAGAAACTGCAGTACTCTGTGCAATTAATGGTAAGGCTTTAGCATTTCATTTTGTGATCTTTCCTCGTCTGTAACATTGATGGGTTTTTGAAGGACTGATGTACATGAACACATGCATGCACGCACGCACACTATTTGGCTTAACAAAGCAATTAATTAAATGAAAGTATACATTTTGTTGTTGTATCCTTGTTTTTGGAAGCTTGTACTACCTTTAATGGAAGGTGCATTAGACAATAGATTGTGTGAAACAACTCCAGTGCAACAGACACTAAGTGATTGATTTAACAGTGGTAATTATGAAGTTGACAATGACAAAAAAAATTGACAGTGACACTGCGAACATCAGGAAAAAAGTAGTTACCTACTATAGATTGAGATTAATGAAATGATCTGTATTTTCTCAGGTGAGATAGTTGCCATGCTGGCCGTGGCAGACACAGTGAAGGAAGAGGCTCACCTTGCTGTGTACACACTGAAGAAAATGGGACTCAATGTTTTCCTCCTCACAGGAGACAATCTCAAGACAGCTAAGGCAATAGCCAAACAGGTGTGGTTTATGGTCTGAGATATTATCATTATAATGTAGACAGTATGAGCTGTTTATTACATGGATAACAGTAAGCCTGCCTTATGTTGTTAAAATCAGAACCTCCATGATCCAATGATCTTATATTGTATGTTAGATGGTGAAACGGAATGCAAAAGGAATTTTAAAAAACATGCATTATATTTTATACAATTAAAAGTGCTATTATATAATAATGGCTTACATTGAACTGTCTGTATTCTAGGTTGGCATCAGTAAAGTGTTTGCGGAAGTGTTACCATCTCACAAAGTGGCCAAGATCAAGCAACTCCAGAAGGACGGGCACCGTGTGGCCATGGTAGGGGATGGGGTCAATGATTCCCCAGCCCTGGCACAGGCTGACCTAGGCATTGCCATAGGAACAGGAACTGATGTTGCCGTGGAAGCAGCAGGCGTGGTGCTAATTAGGGTAAGACATCAGGATGATGTTGTGGCTTTTGAAGATATGTATTTGATGGTTATACAGATTTTATCACATTAGATTTAAAAGAGAATGACTAATAATAATGAAATGGGGAAAAGTTTGATTCATATGAAGAAGTTGGTTATAACATATGAGTATAGTATGACATATGAGACATCATGATTTGAAACAAGTGCACAGTACCAATTTTCAAATATCTTGTGCACTTTTTAATGAAATACCGTCTTATTTGATTACTTTTTTGGGGGAAGGGGGGATGGTTACTATAAAGATATTTCCCTGATAGCTATAGTATATTAAAATCTCTTTTAAATATCTTAGTATTTTTGTTGTTATTTTAGAATGACCTGTTAGATGTGGTGGCGGCCATGCGTCTGTCAAAGAAGACAGTGAGGAGGATAAGGTTCAACTTCCTGGCTGCTACCATCTACAACATAGTGGGAATACCTGTAGCTGCTGGTGAGTGGATTATAATTAGGAGAGGAATGGTTTTGGAAAATGTTATGATTTTAGACAATTTTAAAGAGATATGTAAAATGGCACATTTTTGTGGAAAATTGGTATGAAATTATGAATGCACTCATGTTCCATTTGATCAAAGATTAGATGGCTGTCCACCATAGCGGCAGCAATTTTTTAGTCCAGAAGGTAGTAGCTTGTTACTGCAACAACTGTGGTAAGTTAACAAAACTGTTTACTAAATGAAAATGATGTTTGATTTCCAGGTGCTTTATTCCCAATTGGTATTGAATTAATGCCATGGATGGCCTCTGCAGCAATGGCTGCCTCATCCGTGTCTGTCGTCTGCTCTTCATTGTTGCTGAAACTGTAAGTATCATCCTTCTAGACAATACAATTTCTTGCACTTAATTTTGAAGACTTACTCTTTAAAGGGAAAACAACTGTTCATTTTAGCCAAAAATGGATTTTCCTTCGGTAAACAACATTTTTCCGATACTTACCAATGGTTAAGGAATCCATTCCAACATTCAAAGTTAATCCCTGATTTATTATAAATCTACAATGTATTCATTGTAAAATATGGATCTCATACAACAAGTTGTTATCCCTTTAATATTGCACCATATTTTTAAGAATTGAAAAATACATATGGCTGGGACTTTCAGTTAAATTCCTCAGATTTATGGACAAAACAAAAAAGTTGTTGTAAATGTTGAATTTTTTAAAAAATGTTTGTCCCTTAAAAAATCACTTCAAAATTAGGTAAAATTTTGTATTAATTGCTTTGTCTTTAATGTGGACAGTTTCAAGATGCCACGTCCTGAAGATCTTCTGACAAGTGAATATAAGGCCAGGGTGTGTTTGCCAGACATTTTTGTCACATTTCCTGTTGTTGTTCCTTGCAAACAGTAGAGTTTTTTTTTTTTTTTTTTGGAGAAGGAATTTTTGGGTGTAAACTAAATGAAAATTTCTCTCAGCAAATTGCCAACCGAAATTGCAACTTAATGTCTCTTCTCTTGGGATAATTTCAAGAAGTTTTTCATTACCCAGCATCCTGGACTGCCTGCTTATCGCTTTTTTTTTTTTTTCACCTTTTCCCCCCTTTTTTGTATCAGCATTTTTGTTGTTTTACAGCAAACTTCACTCTTACTGTTCCTGTCTCAGGTTTGTTTCCAGGATTGGGATTATATTGCATGATTATTAATCTCCCCTTCCCATTCCCTTTACATAACAGTTCAGTAGGTAGCTATAGTCACTGAGGTCAGGGGCGGGTTAAGGCCGTCTTCTGGAAGACAGTCAGATTTTCAAGTTTACATTGACGGGTATCTAATTTTTTCTGTCGGAAGATGGTCAAAAATGGAGGATGGATCAACAAAGATAATTTGGAAGACTGTCAGAAAATAACTCTGGATCTGCCCCTGCTGAGGTGGCATACCCAATAAAATCAAAACCTTCCATAGAAATAGATGGTATACAGCAGTATTCTAACACACTTCAGTTAAGAAAATAAAAAGGGTATATGGCTTGGAGAATATTTCATAGGTTAAAATCATACCTGCATCAGTGCATCAATTTTGTGATATTTTTGTTCCAAGGTCCATAGCTAGTGATCGGGTTGTTGGAGAAAAATCACAGTACTCAAATTAGTATCTTTCAAACTACATTTGAGAGAGAAAAAAATTTGATCCTGTTAATGAAGTTTTGACCAATTCAAACCATTTCTTTGCAGAAATATTTGAACATTTTCATTGTATTCAAGTACTCATTTGAAATAGAAATGGCATTCAATGACTTATTTTAAAAATCACTCGGTAATTACAAAAGTCTAACTTAAATAATTTGTCTCACAGCATAATTTCATGTAGCTCAATCAAATAATGCCAAACAATTCCTCTTTTATTCCAACAGCTTCAAGAAACCTAACAGAGAGGACCTCCTGACACAAGAGTACTTTCAGAAGTTCAGCTCAGGCAGGGACGAGTATGGGGAGGATGATATTTCTGTCCACTGCGGTATGGACGCCGACTTTGACCCCGATATTTATGGCAAGACCAGTCTCAAGGGCAGTATTAAGAGCATAGTCAGCAAGCTGAACATAGCAAACAGACCCAAGGGGCATGAGTACAACAGTCTGCTGTCTGTGAATGCACACGAAGAAATGGAGATGGACCCAGTGTAATATTTAGTATGGTATCATAATAACCTGAGAAGAACTCGTGAAAGCAAGCTTTCTGTTGTTATAGGGAAACAGTTTAATGCCTTCAAGTACATCATAAAGAGTTTTTAAAGTTCAAAATTGTTTATACTTTGCTTCTGTATAAAAACTCAGATTTATATATTTATTGCTTCTGCATGGAACATTATATGTATTGTATGATCTGTTAGAGAGTAACCATGTTAACACTGAGAGTTTCAACCACAGTTCACACCTAACAATATTAACTTTTCTAATGTGAATGCACTACCTCCTAAGTGCCTTTCATTGGTTTCAAGTCACTTTTACTATGACATCTGAATGTTTGAGGAAAAAAGTTTGAATTTCCCGATCAACATGATAAGAAAATATAATGAATGTAAAAGAACAAATTTAAAATGAAAAACTAAAAGGTATTAGTTTTCTCTTTTTACATAGTTTGTTAATCCCATTTTATGCCATATTGGCATAGCCTTGATATTGACCAGCTGCACATCATCTCAGGCTCACTCTATTCTCACTAGTCAGTAAATTGTATATTTTTGCTCTTTTGAATATGAAGGGGTACTTCATAGATACTCTGTATTCCTGTTGACATCAAGTGTATACATTTATTTTATCTGTAGCCAATATTAAATCAAAACTCTTGAATGAGATAAGATACTCTATAAATATTTATTTTTGTTTATTGATGCTTTGGAAATTACATGAATGCCAGTTAAGTGATAAACACTTAAATTCAGATATTTTAAGCAGGTCATCTTGTCAATTGATATTGCAGTTCTACACCTTTTCACCAATAGTTTCAGGTTGAATTGAGTTTTGCTTGCCAAATTTAAGATTTTTTATACTTGTGTAAAACCATGACAGTTTATTTGACAAAATGCAAATATAAAATTTTCCCAATATTGTAGTACTGTAATAGCTGTTATGATATACATTTCTGTTTTATGGAAGGGATTTAATTCTTGCCTAAGTTGTCTTTATTGCCAGTTTGAAGGCCAAATTGTTCTGGAAGCTTCTTATAGATATGTTAAAATTGTAAGATTGTATAAGTATGGTAATTTGTGGCTTATGCCAATACATTACTTTTTTCAGATTGTGAAGTTTTCAACCCTTCATTAACATAGTGATGTCAAAAAACTTGTTTCAGAATTCACTTTTTTATTACTCGTAGTACAATCTAACTTATACTCTTTCAGGCAATACAATCACACAAAACTTACTTGGGGAAAATAATTTGGGAACATTATTTAAAAAATCAGTAATTACTGAATACTTTAACTTGTGACCAATTTTTAAAATCAAATTCACTATAATATTGGAGTAAAAAAGTGGAATTTTGAACTGTAATAAATAAGACGGGCAAGTGGTGACCCACATGTCTAACAAGCCATTATCTGAAAAATATAGTAAAAAGGAAGATGTTCATGTTGCATTGCATTAAAAATGTAAAACATTATTCAAACAAAAGAAAATAAAACAAAATTTATAAAATAGATGTGTTTTATTCACAGTATTTTTCATGTTTTAAAAATACTCAAAATGGAAACCACATAAAAATTAAAACTAATAATTAAGTGTTTGGTGAGAATTATACAAGACAGAATTTATGATTATAAGGCAAGTCTTCACTGGTCCTGCATTCTTGGTCTTTGAAAATAGAAATTTGGCAGCCAGTTGGCTAAAACCTTGAAAAGCTATGACAGAAGAAGGTAGCTTTACACACCCAATGAAAACAGATTTGACTTGGCACAAGATTTCCCTTGAAATCTCATAGGCAGTTTTTGATCCCAAGCTCTGTATCAGCAACTTGGGTGTATTCAGACACCAATATCCAGAACCTGATACCAATCCTTCTATTAGATGAAATGATTTACTCTGCTGGCTTGATTACATGAGGGCATTTAAGAAATTACCCATGCTATCATCATCACCTGGCAGTCTTTTTCTTCTTCTTCAATTTTTCACCTGTTTTTGCAGGTGATTTTGAGTCTTTGGATATAGATTTCAGAGTAGATGTCAGGTCTATTGTGTCTGGTGCTTTATTGTCCCTGTAAGTTAAAACAACTGAAAGGTAACTGACATGATATTGTTTTGTCTAATCAGCATAAATATTATTATCGATTTACTTTCTCTAGTGTGCATATAGCATAGAGACAAGATGAAAACTGTTCAAAAGACATTCACCTTTTTGAATCAAACTAAATAAACATTTAAACCTAATTCAGACAAAAAGTTTACAAGAAAAATTTCAAGCGGAATTTTTTTTGTCCTTTTTTAACAGTATTCCAAGAAAAACAAGAATTTTTCCTTTTCCATCTTACCCTTTTCCCTTCCCAGTTTTAGTATCATCCAACTCCTCCAACACTACAACTTCTTCCTCCTCACTGTCTCCACTCAACTCTCCAGTTATATCTGAAAAATCAAAAACCTCCACTTTAACAAAAAGTCATAAAAAGTTACCAGGACACCATAAAATATAATAACAGAAACTTTTATAGCAAAACTTATCATTTGAACAGTTTATTTTCCAGTTAAACGAAAAAAGTTTAACACAAAACTACGTCTGATCATTATATTGCGGGTAAAAATTGTCTAAAGACACAAACTGCAACTGTTTGCCTACCAACTACAGCTGTTGCACCTTTCTTGTTAACTTGACTGGTTTTGTTTTCCTTCATTCTGTTCTCTTCTTCACTTTCCACACCCCATGTGTTAGCACCTCCCTCCCCTATAGCTCCAGTACCAGGGCCCTAGAATGATTCAAACAGCCATTTGTATCAATATGGCAAAGCAACAACTCCAGAAAGTTCATACTAGCCTCCTAGGGAAAACTGTGTAATTAAACCTCTATAATGAGCAGTACACACTAAAAATGTTATGTTATTGCCCACAGGAACCATTACTTTCATGGTTCGAACTGGAAATACCAAACCAATCCAAACTACACAATGAAGAAAGGATCAGGATGAAAATTGCTTACATTCAAAACAAATGTACAGGTGCAAAGTTGCATAAGAAACTTACCAAAATTTTCACCTCTGACACTGATCTTGATCCGAGTTAAGAAAAACAATTTCACCATGGTATTTACATACTTTCAACAATGGTTTATCATTATACTTGTTACAGCTATTACCAAGATGATTCGTACAATATCTTAATGTCTTTCCAAATAAGAAACATAACAAATGAAATAAAATTTAATTGTAAAAACTATGAAACATGCAATATTCTGGGTAAATGCACCAAAAGTACACACGTATAAAGGATACTCCATTTCTTCCTCATCATCTTTTCCATTCTCTAACAGCTGATAGGCCATCTCCATGGCAACCTCTGTGTCAACCTCCTGAGCCTGCTGCTGATTGGTTGTCACCTTGGTAGGTTCCTGAGATGCAGCAAAGCCAAATTTCTCTCCAGAGGACCTGTATTAGAAATGTGGCATTAAACTGATCTGAAAAGCTATATATATATCAGTCTTCAGATATGACACCAAAATCATGATTCGCATGTATTGACTGATAACTGAAAAAATTCCTCCCCATCTGCACCAAAAGTAAAATGATCCCCTGGTTTTGCTGCCATATGAGAAAAGTTCAACGGAATTATGACATCTTTACATGCCACTGCAGCTGTGATCACCAACAAGAAGTTCATCAAGTACAGTGGCTTTAGTGCTTCATCTACAGTTATAGTGGTCATGATTAATTGTGCATTACTATGAGTGCAAACACATTACTAGGTTAGCTTGTAAAGCATGCCTGACCTCTAGCAGTAACCCAGTGGTGGTCAGACTAAGAACTGTTACACAAAACATGCAGTATTTTTATCAGACTAGAGGACAAACTGAATGCAACTAAATTATTGAAGTGTAACAGTATAGAACAATAGGGGTCTCCATGAATGAACTAACCTTGCTTTAGAGTCATTCTCTAGAGCTTTGTGGATGAGTTCTGTGATTTCTATCACCTTCACAACAGCAATGTTGGAGCACCTTAAAACCTGAAGTAAGAAATAAACATTGAGAAAATAATCCACAATCCAACGTGATGAAGGAAGCACTCCAGAAGAAAAAGTCACACATGCAGTGACTAATTTTGACTCAAAGAAATTTGATTCATTCAAAATTTCTACAACAAAATTTTAAAAAAAGGAAGAGACAGACAGACAGACAGACAGTCAACCAGCCAGCCAGTCAGTCACTCATTCATTTGGTCTTTAAGTGACAACATATTTCCTGCCAACGAAATGTGTTGGTGATTTACATTTACTTACTTGGTCTTTAAGCAACAACATATTTCCAGTCATCTGAAGGGTGCAGATTTCTCTGTGTTTGTTCATTGCAATGACCATCTTTCCGTCCATCACCTTCTCCTCCTTCTCAGTGGGGTCAACCAATAAATACTTCCTGAATAAATGAATATATCAAACATGGCAATTGATGAGATGTAGAGTGAAAGGTGTAGTGTATGGAAGTAAGCCATGGCAATTAATTTTTGGGCACCTAAAAATTGCTTTGAGACCCCATGATTACTATGCCTTTTGTCCCAACTTGTGGGACCAAAATTTGCAAGAACAGCTCCCCATCAATATTAACAGGTACTATCATGATATCACATGACCAATCAGAGGCGGATTTAGGCTGTCTTCTGGGTCTTCCAGAAGACGGTCAGATTTTTAAGTTTACATAGATAGGTATGTAATTTTTTCTGTTGGAAGACGGTCAAAATTGGAGGATTGATCAACAAAGATAATTTGGAAGACTGTCAGAAAATACCTCTGGATCCGCCCCTGCCAATTACTGAAAAGTTGTCCCCATCTGCACCAAAGATGTAACAATATACCAAAATAAAACAATCCTCACTGACCACAATACACTTCATCTTTTCATTATTTCATCTTTTAGCTAGTTAAAGTAATAGTAAGAACAAATTGTTTCAATCACTCACCCCTGTTCATAGAAGGCAAATGTGACACATATGGGCATATGGTGTAAACTGAGAGGAATGGGTTCCCGCTCCTCTGCTTTATGCTGAAATTAGATGTAAGATTAATTTAAAATCAATATTTTTTAAAATGCATTTTTTTTCTTTTAAAATACTGTCTCTTTTTATTTAATTCATAAATATTTCAAAAGATGTATGGTAACTTCTTGAGGATATTATTCAGAAGTGTTTATTTTTCCATCTTTCAGATTTTAGGTTAACACTTACTATTGTGACCTCTTCGCCATCGACAGTCACATCAGGACGTCTGCAATATGTAGAAACAAATTCATTTAAACTGAGAAAAAATACTATCAAGTTTACAATGAAACCTTCAATGAGTTAAAAATGAAGTTGTTTTGTACTGAAAGGTATTAAGTAAAAGATAAGAATTTTGCATGTTATAATAAATTGTAAAAGTGGTTTCTGGGTTTTAATTCTGAATTTTAAATAACAGCACTACATTACCCATTTAAAATGCACTTTCTAAGCATCAGTTACTTAATCATCCATAACAATTATAAAATGTCTTCAACTGCTTAAGAAATGCTCTCCTATAACCTCCCCCCTCACCTGAAATGTGCAAGTGCCGCCATTGCCGCTATACTAGCACAATCCATAATATTCCCTTCTTCATTCAACACATGAACATCTACACGGACTGAAAACACCTAGAGCAAAGAAAGTTGTCACAGTACTAAAATTTTGTCATTACTTTTTTCAAAAACATTTTGGATTTTTACAAATTAACCATTAAATTAAAAAAAAAAACATGGAGTCAATGACAGACAGTGATAAGATAAGTAACATATTAAGTATCAAGCAAACTGAAATTTAACATAACTGATCTTAAAATAAAAGAATAAAAATGCTAACCTTCTCCCCTGCTATGATACACAATGATTCTGTATCAATACATCGAGAATCTTTGATGCATCTCTCTAACAGTCTGTTCAGTTCTACGCCATATTCTGATAACCTGCAAATTGGTAAATATAATTCTAAAGCCTGCAATAAGGTTAGACAATGTTATTTCCTTGTCTTTTACATTTAAGTTGCTATATTATGCAGATATTTGCCAAACCCTTTTACAAACAGAAAGGGAAATTAAACCAGATATGTATATTTTTACTCAATGGTGACTTACTAGTATGTTCATAAAAGTCATGTACATATAAAAATCCCAAAGCCAATTCTATCAAGGTTACACATGTTCAAGGCTGTTAACAAAGAAAATCAAAATAAAAAAACAATCTGTCTAAAACATTGAGCTAATAATATAATCAACTCAAATCTTGAGGTATGACCTTTCATGTTTACCTTCCTGCTTCAAAATGAGGTGCCGCCATAGGTGACAACTCCAAGTTGACATTGAGAAGTCCCTCTGTGGGCCGTGTCTGCTTGGGCTCTGTGATCTCACAGGACACTTGTGCCAGCACTCTAGAAAACATATCACAGTATAATACATAATGGAATTTATAGCATTAGATCCAAATGAGCGCTATGCTTTCATGGGATCCAGCTAATGACCTTACAGGTCTCCTAAGGCAACAACAATTATATGGCAGTATTAAATAAAATATATTTAAATTGACTTAACATTTACTTACTTCATCCATGATATCATCAGATGTGCTTATCAAAATTAAAATTTTATTTTGACAGACAAAAGTATGAAATGAGGACATTTTAATGGTGATCGAGTGATATTTACTGGTACTAGTATAAATCATTAGCACCAGGGGCAGATCCAGAGCTATTTTCTGACAGTCTTCCAAATTTTCTTTGTTGATCCATCCTCTATTTTTGACCGTCTTCTGACAGAAAAAAATTTGATACCCGTCAATGTAAACTTGAAAATCTGACCATCTTCCAGAAGACCCAGAAGACGGCCTCAATCCGCCCCTGTTAGCACTATGTATTCTTTTTTAAAGAACAGCTCTTTACCTTGTCAGCCCAAGCTCTACACTGCAGCATCCTCTGTCAATACCAAATGTTATCTTCAGCTTTCTGTAATCATATGCTTCCCTGCCATCTAGTCTCTGAAACACAAGGAAATCAACATGGTTTTACAATGACCTTTAATAATTTAGTTCTGATTTAACTCATTAATTCAATTAGCTTATTCACAATTTGCTACTTTTTTATAGTATATGTATAATATTATGTCAAATAAGCTATAGTTAAATGGCAAGTTCACTGTTGTTCCTCAATATAATTGCATCACAGCTAGGTTGTCCTTCAAGAAAGTGTCGACTTAACAGAATTAAGCACAAAAAAGAGTAAGTTAATCCACTGAAACATTGGGAGACCGGCACAGGCCTAGGGTTAAAATTAAATACTAATCATTTTAAAATAGTTGGAAATTGCATGCATACATGTATTCTGCCAATAAAAACAAAATACAGAAGTTGTGCTACAGCGTGGATCAGCCTAGAAATCTTACCCTCCTTTCAGCAATGGCTTTTAATATGAACTCCCGTTCACATATTGTCAACGGTACTTCCCTCATGATCAGAATGTCATCTGAAAACAGTAAGAAACCTGTAGTCACATTTTTCGTTTACCCACGTTTTCTAGTTACAAACGTGACGTGAATCGAATGTTCCATAACTCGACTGTTTTGCGCATGTGCACTAAGCGCAAACTGCAACTGTTATGCAGAGAGTTATGAGGCATTTATTATGAATTTTCAATTTTTTCATGTCAGTGCTACCATGTTTTTTTTCTGAGATGAATTTCAATAAATTCTATTATTTGTATTCTTATTGTTGTATTCATATTTTTTTCAGGAGGCGCTGCAGCAGATTTCGCAGAACGTCTGAGCACGACAAAGTTTTGAGATCGCGATGCCGGAAGTGAAACGACAATAAGGTTTAGCCTTGACCTACATAGGATCGAAAGTTGACGATATGTGCTGATAGAATAGTCACAAGATATTTATTTAATTAGAAGATGGCACACACTAGAGGCTACCAGAATTTACAGTGGAACGAAGGCAGTGATCAAAGTACGTGGAATTATATAGAATTTCACTTTGTCCCATATTACTTTCGGTATTTTTCGGTGGTTTATTTAATCATTATTGTTTCACTGACATTTCATGTACCCCTGTACATGTATTTCAATTTTCTCCAGCTTTCGGCCTGCAGTCAGTTCCGAGCATGTTAAGACGAAAACTAAAACGAACGACGAGTGCGTGCAATGTTTTGGAAAGAGTAACATGAAATATATAGACTCTTGATGTGTGTATTTGTGTGTGCGTGTCCATGAATGTGTGTGTGTGTGTGGGGGGGGGGGGGGGGGTTTGACTTAAAAGCAGGCTCCAGTGATGGGATTCCTTAATGTGTAGGATATCACTACTACATGAGCTGGACTGGAAATCGCAGCTTGCGGTCATTTAACTTTAAAGGGATAATAACTCTTCGTTTCGGCCAAAAAATGAATTTTCCTGTAGTAAACAACAATTTTCCCATACTTACCAATGGTTAATGAATCCATTTTTACATTCAAAGTTAGTCCCTGTTTTTTTTTCTAAAGAGTTTGGTTTTTTGTTAAAATCTCTTAAGAGATTTTAGCAGAGTATAGCCATCAATGGAGGTCACGTGGTCTAAAGAAAAGCTCAGATATCAGAATAATACACGGTAGGTATAACTGCCGTTTTGTGGTAAAACAGAATACTCAGTATATTATATTTCTATGAGTTATTCACAATGTTTTTATTGTGAAATATAGATCTCATACGAAGAGTTATTATCCCTTTAAACAGATATGCCCCACTGTAGACATTCTTGACTGACCACTTAGCTATCCCTTCCATTAGGGTTTAGTTTGAATTTAGACAACTGAATGCTAGCTATTTCTGTAGACACACCTGCATCATTCTCATATATCATATATGATGTAAGACATGTTTTCCCAGCTTTGGCTTTTTCAACATTCTTTCATGAACTCTTATGTGGACCTTAACATTTGGGATGTAAAAAGCTATATATAAATGTGTTTATTGATCTTCACTGCAAAGGTACAATCATTCCAAATGTGATGGTATCAATAATTCAAATAAATATCTGTAAATGTAGACACAAAAAGACATCATATATACTATATGGCTTAACCTGCATGAGAATACATAAAGTGAGAGCTAGGTGAACAAGCAGATCTGTATCCAAACATACTACAGTGTTTAGTTATGTAAAGTGCTGGCTAACAATGACTAATTTTGGTACGTAGCAAACTAATTTTTTATCTTGGTACCTGTTTTGAAAATAAATTCTCCCACTTCTGATTTTAATTTAACCTCACTTGAAAAAATATGGCAAATGTTCACAAACACTTAAGGTAACCTGTACATGTAAGATATATTATAATGAGAATCCCTTAAGGAGGCGATAATTTTTAGAGTGTAAAAGTCGTAATAGCTTGGATGACAGTAGACAGGTGAGGTATGAAACTTTCCCATGGAATAATTATTAGTATAATAACTTGCAAGTTTCACATTAACTACTGCAATTCATGCTGTGAGATTCTTCTATAATGAATGATGATAAATACCCATTGCACTCATTTCAACAGAGTTCTGTGAGCTTTCTGTGTGCATAAAGCTGTTGCCTATTAGTATAGTATGTAATACTGTATACTATAAGACTCATGTGCTGAATAATACAATTTTTAACATACGTTAACATTTCTGATAAATTGTATATGTAACAACAATGATAGCTTATGAACACCTGTGCACTGTATCTTTACATCAGTATTGATAATGTATTGTATTGATAATGTATTATACTAGTAATTGATTTTTACAGTCGCTTTTTTACGTATATAAATTACTAGTAGTGCACTCCACACAAGTAACTCTTTAAATCGTATCTTTATGTATTGATTTACCTATCCTGAGTTAACCTGTTGCGCACATTGTTTGTTTTTTTTCCCTTCCTAACAAATATCCTTATCCTTTTGTTCTTTAAAATAGCACAGTTGTTTGCCTTTGTAATTTGTACATTTCAGCCATGACATTTTAAACCTACTATAGTACTAGTATATTATATGTTTTATATTACCATGTTTGTATTAGAAACAAAATGCAGTATGACTACTGTGTGTGTGTATTGTTCAATTCCAGAACAAGCTCTGTGTGTAATGCAATTCTAATGACATTGTCCATCCCCAGCAGACTGGCCATTATCTCTTACTTCCACTCTGTAATTCTGGGCTTGAAATCCAATCAGCTTCTGTATGATACTGAGCTGTATACACTGTATTTTTTGCTGGAACACAATTGTGGCACACAAACTCTGTACTAGTATTCAGATGTGCTTTGCAAATTTGTGACTTTTCAATATTTCAAACATATTGCAGGATATACATGTGTTTCTTACAGGGCTAAAAGAGATAAATATTACTACTAGTAATTTAAAATAAAAAAAAGAAAGAATAATCTACCATTTTTACTTTCCTGAACTGCCTGATCATTTGCCTGGAATTATGGACAGACATAATTTTCATTTTATTTGGGAAATAGCTGATGATTCCATACTGAAATGTATCAGTCTGTTTATTAAACCAATACCTGAGGTTCACCACCTGCAAGCATCTGTGGTGATTATTTCACTGTTGTTTTCAAATTTGAGTATGTTATACATTTGGCATATATTTTATTTAAAGCATTTGTTTAGAAGATTGACGAAGTAAATAGTTTCACAAATTTTAGGAGTGAAAGAATTTTTGACAAACCTATGCGGTATTGTTCTAGTAGGTCTAATCCTTTAGAAACTATTTTCCCAGTCTCAAATTATCTATTATTACCAGGGCAAGTCAAGGGACCATATTATTTCCCAGGTTATCAAATTAATAATTCTTTTGTTTGATAAACTGTCCAGACTATTGATTTTAGGTCTGTTAAGAGATAAATATCTTTTGTAATGGAGGGAAATGTTGGCTTTTACTGGACTCTATTTAATTGTTTCTGACTGAAGGGGAAAGCTTGCTTTTACATTATTCATTTGAAACAATCTTTATTTCCACCATTAGTCAGTTATTGATCAATCAAAATTAAGTTGCGCAAATATTGTATATGTTTACACAAAGAAGTATCTTCCAGTTTTGATTCAAGTATAAAGAAATTATTGCAGCATTGGAAATTTGATTTTCCCAATGTGGCCCCTTATGTAAGAGGACCTCTGTAAGGTGACTTCTGTGCATGGCTGGTTTACTGTACTTAAATAACAGTTTTGGTTGACAGTTAAGATGAACTAGACAGCAGGTGTATGCCATTTAGGTCATTGCTGAGGGAAGGGACTCAAACCATTTTATAGACCCCCCCCCCATCCCATCTATGCAAACTTTCGACTACAATAGCCCCTTCCTGCCCTCAGCTCACCCCCTCCTCTACATCACCCTTTAAAATTATGATCATGTGTTGATAAATTATTGTTAAACTTTTTATTTCTCCATCATTGTCATGTGCTTAAGCAGCTTTTCTATCCTTGAGAAAGAACGAAACCTGTTAAGCAAAAGCTATCAAATGAAAACAAGACATCACATGTGCATCAATTCATTTTCAAAATGACGTCAGACTGTCATAAAGACATGTAAAAGTAAAAAATCAATTTCTCAAGGGACATCAACACAAAGTATCATGAAAGGGGGGGAAAAATCAATAATCATCCTTGCAGAGCTGGGTAGAAAGGTGAAGCTAATATAGGTTTATAGTTTTGTGCCGAGTCAATACCACCGGTTCTATTGCCAATTATTAGCCATAAGGGCTGTAGATTGATAGAAAATAGCAGAAACATTTTGGGAATAATGGAGTTGGGAGGTGTAAGGAGGTTTGCGTACATGAGAGGTAAGTTAATTCATGCAGCCGTTACGTACTTGTTGGTAATTTCCTGCAAGCTCCATGTTATTAGTATGTGATTGAGCTTTACAGTGTGGGAGGATGCACATGTATGAAAAATGGATATTGGTATTCAGAAAGTCATTGTTAAAAATTATGTCATATTGGACAGGCAGATATCAGCTCAGCAGCAGTCCATTTCTTGAATTATTTATATACTCTTTTGTCCAACAGATGCATGAGTACTTTTTGGATAAATTTTCAGCTTAATATATTCAGTAGCATACATAGTGATTGGTTTTGATTGTTAAAAATTATGCCATAATGGACAGGCAGATATCGGCTCAGCAGCAGTCCATTTTTTGAGTCCCCATTTGATCTGTGGTAAATGCATTTATAACCAAGACTTCTTGAATAAATATTATCTGCTAGATTTTATAATTATGCATTTTGGCAGAAATGGGGAGTTGCCCTATCGAATGTAGGTTGGGAATTGATAGACAACGATAAATAAACTTAGCAATAATGTTGTAAGACATAATTATAAAAGGTGAGCCATTTGTCAAGTAATTATAATGTAGACACTTTTTGTGCTTGGTTATATTTTTAAGCACAATTACAAAATGTATATCACATGACAGAGATCATTTAAAATTGAAATACTTAGCCTT